GTAAATTAAATGCTTTTGTTCAACTGAGATTTTAACATTCCACGAATATTCAATTATAACTTACAATGTGTATAACTTACAATTATAACTTACAATAATTAATACACTTGAAAGAAACAGTGTTGATTTCTACATTTCTATTCTACGAATACTTTTGTCTCCCACTGTATGCAAGAACCGTTTAACAACATGCGCCAGATCAACGCACGAACTATTAAACTACGTTTAACGTTGTTTCACTGTGGTGGGGCTTCTTATTACATCGCACTATAACGTAGCACATGATCGATTTATATTGCACTAGCTTCGATCGAACGTTACGCGAGACTGTGGACGAAACAAAAGCTGGAATCGTTCCATCGGGACGAAACTTCCGTTTCCGGAGTGTTTCACTTTCGAAAACGTTATGTTGCATTCGAGTTAGAGTCGGAGCCTCTTTAGAATCTTTTTTCATTCGAATATTTGAACTATTACAATATACATACTATTTGAAGGCTGGTTACGTTTTCTGTTCAAAATGGCGGGAGTTTGTAAGCTTTTCAAATTTTGTCCTCAAATTAATGATTGGAAAAAAAAGTAAAAAATATCTCATTAAACTATATTGAATGGCCTATAAACCTACTAATTTTTATTTGAATCGTTCCTTTATACAATTCTATATCCACAATTCGATTTATGCGATATTTAACTTACGCAGAGATCCCTCGAAAGAATTATTCTTAACTTAGCCATTACTAAAACGAAGCATTTAAAAATTGATCATTAAAATGATATATCACCTCGTTCGACTCGACGTTATTTGAACTAATCGTGTGTTAATTTATTTGAACAGTCTCAAATGAAATAATTTTAGTAAATGTTTATTCCACCAACTCGAAAGGCTCTCGAATTCTAAATTTGATAATTCGCTTGTGGACAGAACGAAAGTTGATTTATACAAATAAATTGACAATCTCGTGTAAAACATTTGGTCGAATTAATTAGAATGATAAATTATTTTTTCTCCCATTATTTGTGAAATTAATGAAGTATTTTCCGTTTCGTTGTATCTCGACCGTGGCTTTTTGATCTTCGAGATCAAGGGGTCCGGTTGGTAATTAATTTTGCTGACGGGATCGGTTGCTCGCGAAAGCAATAAAAGATACGCGAAATGGAAACAGTCCGAAAGCCGATTACCGCGAATGATGAAATCGTCCACGACGTATCATGGTCTCCGTAAAAAATTTTACCCCACAATTGGCCCGTAAACTCGCCCAAGTGGCTGACCCATTATCGTTTCTACCTACCAGTGTTGTGTCTGAGAGCATTTTAAGCGTGGGCACAGAGTGATAATGGTCGATGGATTGTGCCATCCGGTGATTTTTCGAAGCACGCGATAGATCGTACTCTCGACGTTCCGTGTATACCATTATCTTGTAAACACCGTTCCGGTTGCAACTAATTTCCAACGACCCATAGGTCACCGAGATTACATTCTCGACGTACGAAACAGTCAAATGTCGCGATGGGATCAACCATATCGGGCCTCGATAGGATACCGTCCAATTCTGTACGATTATCTCGAAAAACAAAGTATTTATAGATATAATTTAAACTTGACAGGCCAACGATTGCAAAATTAGTCATTTGGCATGAATAATGCAAATTCGGACGGGACACGCGGATTGGGAAAATTTGAATAAGATTTGACCAACAATTTAATCAAATCATTTAATTTTTATTCGTTTCTAGCGAAACATTTAATTCTATACAGTAAAATTACAGACCAATACTGGCCACCCCTGGAGGAAATCAAGAATATCAGTTTCTTGACTGAAGCTTCGTTAAAAAAGTTATTAAAAAATTTCAAATCATTTTGAAAAAATTGTGTTTGGTTGCAAGCATCAATTACAATCATTTTTGGTCAATAGACACACTCCCGAATTCCTACGCGTTTTCGAGAAAAAAATTCCTTACCGACAATATAATTGCAGGCCAGAAATGTTGCTCCAAAATTTCATGCGAATCTTTAAAACGCCATAACTCCTGAACGGATTGGAGGATTTTAATGTTTCAAAGGGCAAACAACGCGTATTTTAGCGTAGAATATGTAGATATTCCAAGAATATTCGAAAAGTTGTTCCTTGACTCCATAAAGTTAGAAAAACCCCATAATAATGATCCAATTTTCAAACGACCATAACTCCTAGAATAGTAAATATATATCAATGAAACTTTTTTCTGAAGTAGAGCTCATGGGCCCCTACAAAAAAGTATTAGACAACTTTCCTGTAGGGCGTCAAACAAATTTTTTAAAAATGAAAAATTAATTTTTGGGGGAAATCGACAAGGGGTGCCTCTCGGTGAAAAAAAAAATTTCGAATCGTTCTAAAAAAATTATTTCTAGATTCTAGGGCCAATTACAAATCCTGCGCATTTTCGAGAAAAAAATTCATTCGAGCGGAACTTTTTAACGAAGCTTCCAACAAATTAGTATTCTTAATTTTAATTATAAAGAAGGATAAGTATTTTTGCGCTTCGAATGCACGATATTTCTATTTTTCCAACCTTCAGCCTCAAGCCTGCGTTCACCTCTGCGCGCTCCGCATAGATTTTGCATCTATTTTTCATATTTGCATACGCTAAAAATGGCGGCCCATTTATCGTTACTATGTGTGTAGCTGTAAAAATACGGTTCTAACGAAATGTCATTGAATCGATTGAACCGGAGTCCATGACTATCGAACAGGCGATTCGGTGTTCGGGGATTGGACGATTTCGAACGGGACGAAACGATGAATGGACGTCGATCGAGTTTCATGAATCGAGCTTCGATTTCTGCGCGTGCAACGGAACTTTTGGCAACGATTCGACGATGCTGCGTCACTCGTTAGCTCGAAGTGATGGATGCACAGTGAGAACCGATGTGTTCTCGAGCTTTATGCCGCGAAAGCGCAGCCAAAAGTCGTCGCACGAGCCGAGAAGTCTAAATATAAAGATCACCTACGGTCGGTTCGCAATGTGCGAACCACACGACGGGCTCTCAGTGTTCGTTAGAAATTCACAGGAGCAATTTGCACGAGCGTGCTCTCACTGGTGAACAGTATCAAAACGCGTTTCATATTATCGATTCGATATTGGAGCGACGTGACAAGCTATTGAAAACATGTGTGTCATTGGTAAGAAAACGATTTGCTCGAGGGTAGCTTCCACTTTGTTTTCCGTTCTCTGAAAACATGTAAAATTAACGGAGTCGCGAAAGGAAAACGTTAATTGTAATTTAAACATTAATCAATTCATAATTAATTAAAATTCATATGATAATTTATTTCCCAAATACATATTCGTATTCGAAGATGGCTCGCTTTATCGTTCGTCAGAACCTCGCCTCGACCACTTCCGGTCTGCGTTAATATAGAATTCAAGATGAACTAATTAATAAATATCCCACGATTAATATCTGTTGAAAGGTTTCTCGTGAAAATCGGTGACACGTGTCAAAGTACATTACGATTTGGCACTGATGCAATTGTAGATCGCAAGATAGACGTTGCTAAGAGCAATTAAGATCTTTCTCTCGAAACGTGTCACGTTTTATATTAAGAATCGTATTTATTTTTTTACGCAAGCCTTCGATTCGATACTGCAATAATTTTCCTCGACCTCGAATAACTTTACACTCGAGAAACAATTCAGAACAGGGAAAGTCGGGCGATTTCCATACAAACTATTCGTGTTAATTTGAAAATAATAATTTTTCGAGTTATCGATTCACCAATAAATGAAACGAAACGGGCAAAGTTCGTGCATCGTGGGAAGCTCATTCCATTTCCGTCGCGTATGGATTGCAACGTGACCAGAATTTCTTATTCCATGCCGAGCGACGTTACATGATTTCACGTTGCTGCTTTATGATCGAACGATCCCTGACGCAAAGTTTCGTTGGCAGATCGCCAATACTGACGTCGACGATGCATCCGCTAAAACGGTTCGCCGTATATAACAACAAACAGACCGATCATGGCGAAGCACACTTCGCGAAAGACCGCGCCATTTTGACGATACGAAATGTTCCATCGTGCGAACGCTAGTGCCTCGATTATTGCGCGAGAACTTCGTTCGTTGGATCGACAAGTGGAGAGGATGGTCGCTAACGAGCAAAGTTGGGGATAGAGTTACTCATTACTGTGGTAATCAGGAATTTCCAACTCTAATTAACTGCAATAATCGAGGCTCTGCTGGTACTGCCTCGCTTCTTGCGAACGAATCAGGCCTGTCAGGTTTCGTTAGAAGCGATTTTGAGCGGAACTTTGTTCTTGGAACTGGTGGAACTCACTCAAGCCAACTAAATGGCGGTTTAATTGCACGTTTACTGGCCATTCGAGTCGAACGAACATAAACGGTGGCGATGCAAGTGTTTCTAACGCGAAATGATGCAAGAAGCGAGGCAGGTGTCTCCTTATGGCGTTGTTATTCCCACGAAACAGCGTTCCCCAAACTGTGAAAAAAATTCCCCCGTGAAAAATTGCAAACACAAAACAAAATGGGACTCCTCTATATCAATATTGTAGACTTTTTCTCAAATTCAGAAAAAACTCTATTATAAACCATACTGTTTGTAAATTTTATTCTCTTATTTTTCTGTACTGTATGATATGTATATTTCTCTAGTTCGTCCAATTGTTTGAAAATGAATTAATTGAAAAACTTGAAGCCCTGTTAAACGGTGGAAAATTTTCCTCTGCCATCTTTTGCAACTATAGAGTAGTCCATTTTGGGTACTGGGAACACCGTGTATTTGAAGAATTAAGAACGAAATAGCCACAATAGAACACGAGTGTTTCGGAAATGAATTACGAGGCGAGAAACGACGACTGAAATAGTTTGGGGAAACGCTGCGGAAAAACCTTTGTCCCGAACCTGACCAACGTGGCACGCGTTCAAACATGAGTCATCATCGTTCAGGTTTGCATAATTCAACTACATTCTCATCGAACGGTTCTCTCGCTGGTTTTTTGCAGAACCTGGTAAAGACAAAATCCCGATCAGGATGCCAGGAGTCACGAAATCGCCGCGCAAGTTCGCGGGGGTGGTGATCGCGATGTGCGGCCTTCCTGGACGTGGAAAAAGCCAGGTCGCTCAATGCCTTTCGCGCAGGCTCAACTGGAATAGCTATTCCACCAAAGGTAAGGAAAATGGTTTCTTTTACTGTCCTCTAATAACACTTCGTATCGTACGACTCGTCGCTCTTCACGAAGCTATAATTCACATTTAAGTCAGTCATAAACCATACATTTTCACATGTTTGCAAACTATTCTTAAAACAAATCTGTTTTTTGCAATCTTTTTTTGTAAATTTAAAAAAAAAAAAAAATAATATACACTCGATGAATTGTTTGTTATGTCAAAGGATTAATAACACTTCCTTAATCGAAACAATTGTCGTCCATTTTTTACTTGCCACAATTTTGTTTGGATTTTGATTAACAGGTTTGAAAGTGGATTTCATAGATTATTCTGCATATAAAAAACTGAATTCTTCGGGAGTATTACGAGTATTTGAAACGTTCTTCCATCGCGTTATAAATATTTTTATCGACTCGTTTGATTGCTCGGTGCACACGTTTGAACAGTTTTAACAATTTTGTTCTCATTTACGAACGTATGCAGCCTCACGAACAATGAAGTGTTTAGTCGACTTAACGTGCACATATGGCGTGCAGTAATACCACGCATTAAAAAGAGTACAATCGATTAGGATGTAGCGTCGATGCGTGCTGTGACATTTTTAATACAACGTGTTTTATCGGTTTCTATTCTTTGCCCTTTAACGACGATATTGACATTTGTTGGACTTTATATCACCCTTCCTGTTGGATGATACTCCATTACATTTACGACGCCATTTGTAATGGTATCGGCAGGATGTTGATCTGGCAAAAATTCTAGTTTCGAAAGGAATAAATTGAACTTGTCAAAATGTAGAGATTGAATAATTAAACGATATCGTGAAAAATACCAGAAAATTATGCTCCAATGTTTTTAGTTTTCGACCATCTTACTTTTGTGGTAAAATAAAAATTAAGTAAAGTTTCTAAAAGAATCTACTACCTTTTGTTTGAAATTTGAACGTTGTTTGCAATTTTTCTATGTGTTTTGTTACAAATTCTGATTGACAGGAACAGGAAAAAAGTAAATTATCATTATTGCTGAATCATAATCGAATCGGAGTAAAGTCTAGACAGTGCACTGATTGAATCACAGCTTTCATTAGACATACATAGTTCTCTTTACGGAACAAAATGTATTCCAGGTATAATTGAAACGAACAATGAAAACGCAAACGAATGTCCAATAAATTTTCATGAACAGCGCAAAATGAGCTTTCTAATAACTCATAGCTACAAACATTGTATAACATTTTAGTGGACTGTTAAGAATGACTAACAAAGTGTCTGCAATATGCAACACTATCAGAAATAGGAATAAAGCTTTTTTTAACGCAAACGTAAAAGCAATACGATCACTGGTGAAATAAAAGAAATTTTAAACCTATTTTCATGGGCCAATATTTTGTTAATTATTGCACGAAATTGGTCAAACTTCCCTGTTGCAAGACTCTATGTTTCATACGATCATTTCACGTTCACAATTTATGTTTAAAGTTATAAATAATCCTCAAATATAACTGAGGAAAATTACTGTTAGAAGAGGAAAGGAACCTATCGTAAATTTAATTAAAATATGGCATAATCATGAATATATTAAAAATTTATATTCAAGACTAAAAATAAATGCTCAAAATATAATGTATGCTTGCAAATTAATGACCTATTTTATCGAAAAAGAGTGATTTACTGTTTTGTGTACAAATGATCCCAATTAATCAACAAGAAGTTCACTAAATCACAATGCAATAATAATTTTTATCTAAAATTGCACTCAAATAACGTTCAATTGATGCGTAAGAATTATAGTTTCTGTTTTGAATGTGTTTTGAGAATTGAAGGAGGTTCCAAAGTTTATCTTCAACAACTTTATGTTCGATTACCATTCTTTACGATTGGATTATGAACGACTTCATGGTAAATTATTCCCAGCGAATTATACGTGTCCGATCAACGTACATTCGTTTCAATTTTTTCCCCTGGCCTTCTCACATCCTGTAGTGTAATAAAAACCATTCGGCATACGCGTTACGTAGCCCTGTCGCTTATGACTTACGACTTACCTTGAATGGTTTACTTCCTTTTCGATATATCGCCGCGTATACGCGCCACAGGACACCTTTATTTATTTTCAAGCTTTTTCTCTCGACAAGTAACTTTCCACTTCTGTGTATACAGAAATAAATCTATAAGGTTGGATACTTTTGCAATTCTGTTTTTTGGAATCTTTTTAATGTTACGATAGAAAGTGAATTTTCAGGAAAAATCAAATAAGAAAGCAGTGATATTATTATATTCACCTTGGCCTGTTAAAATTTATTTTGATACGCAAAGTGGAAACTATAATGCAAAATTTAAAATCAGAAATGTCGAAAATATTTTAAGTAAAGATTCCGGATAAACTTTATTTTATTCAATTTTATGTACTGTTCGTTTGAATATTTCATGAGCTCTACAAAATAAATAACGAAAAATTAGAATTCGATATTCGAATAATATTTGAGAAATCCCAACTACTTAATCCCTACTTAAAAACACAGAACTTGAAAATAATTTATGACGCTAATACGTACAAAGTACAATTGCGTCTTATCGACTATATTGTTGTTCGATTTAATACAAACCGACATTGTTCGTAGCAGATAACCTTTATAAACGAAAATGCTCGAATATCTCTGTCCCACAAAGGAACGTAACTTCGCAAAACAGGAATTAAGAGAGTAAACAGACGAATATGAAATCCATATCGCGTGTAAGGAACCAAATATTGTATAAACAAAAAACGTTGAATTTGTTACATGTATCAAACCCGATGGAATCTTGAGTAAGACTGAAAAAGCCATTTCATAATCGACTTTACGACCTGCCCGATGGTATGTATCGTGAGAATTGCGAGATTAAATCGCGTAAAGTGGGAGCCAATTAGGGTCAAAGATCAAACGAATTCGGGACCTAAGAATACCAACGGATCGGTATTTCGTGCTATATAAGACCACTTTTATAAAAATAACACCCCCTGCCCCCTCCTGGTAGCCAAATCTTATTTGTTCTACGTTGCGTGGGCGGGTGGCACCTACTATCAAATATAGTATATAAATATAGGATCGAAGAAAAAAATCTAGAAATAGCGCAATAGGAAAAGTTGTTACCTAGCAATCCGTCTAAATCGAACTTGGCAAATATTAATTCTCGCTCACCAGACTCCTGGATCCATTTCAAATATATAATTGATGACTTTGATCCTTCTAACCAAGTTCTACTATTTTTGGTTTGCTAAAAAAACATTCAGCCTCAGAAAAATCTTCGATCCACAGATTGACCCATGGCTAGAGTCATGAATTTACGGGTTTTAATAAATAATAATATCACTACTAATTGGGCTTGTAAAATCGATGACACTAATAAATAAAAAATTGTTAAATCTCTATACTGGAACGCGAAATAATAAAATCTAAACTCTGGGTCAAGACGAACCCAGCATCCGCCATTTTGGGGGTTAATATGTACCTGGTAGGTTTAGATTAGGTTCCATTATGATTTCTGTTTATTACATGTTATTTGTCAGCTTTTATTATACGTTAACCACATTCAACTTTAAAATTTTCAAGAATGTGTATAGTTAGGTGAGATACGTTAAAAGGAGGCGCTCAATTTGCATGTATGGGGGTACTGGTAGTTGTAGATTTGTATCAGGTTCTATTGTGATTTGTTTGTGAACCAGGTTTTGGGTCAAATTTTTTCCCTACCAATTTAACATTATACATTAACCATATTCAACTTCAAAACTTTCGAAAATGAATAGTCGGATGAGATACGTTAAAAGAGGGTACCCAATTTGCATGTATGGGGGTCCTGATAGTTGTAGGTTCTATTAGAATTAGGTTTCATTATGATTTACTTATAAACCAGGCTTCAGACCAGATTTATGCCTCACAAATTAAAAAATTAAAAAACTCTAGAATGTTTAAATAATACACGTTAACATTAGAACTACCGACAATTATACGAGAGTCGTCTGAAAAGTTTTGAGCCTAGCATAGAAACAAGTATTTTTCCGGTTAAATATAGCTTTATTCTTCAATATAGTCTCTTTTTAAGGCAATACACTTTTCTCAGCGATGCTGTATCCCTTTTAACCCTTCCAAACAGTAGTTGGCGTCTTACCCTGCAAAGTAGACATTTAAATCTCTGTCCTCCAAATGATATTTTAAGCTTAGGAAAGAGGAAAAAGTCGATGGGGGCAGATCTGGTGAACACGGTGGTTAGTCAACCAATTCGAAACGCAATTCGTGAATTTTGATCATGGCGGCCACCGAAATGTGAGCTGATCCATCTTTGCAAAAATACTGACATCGACTGACGAACACAACTCCCAAACAACAACTGAGCGTCCAAAATTGCTGAAATTTGTACAGACATTTGTCAAAGCATCTACCATTATACTACCAGAATGGTTCTGAACAGAAACGCCACCTTCATGTCGAGGCTCAAAACTTTTCAGACGACCTTCGTAGTGTATTTATTTAAAAATTCACACTGTAGATACGTGAAGTATGGAAATAAGTATTTACTCATTCCCTTATAGAAAACTACGGTGAATTGTCAAAAGTCTACTCGAGTAAATCTTTGAAAATTTTTATTAGAAATTAGGAATGTTGACCACTTGGGTAGTTCTAGTGTTAGAAGGCCTAATCGGGGGGTTCTGGTAGCTTCATCGACTGGTCCCGATTCAACACGACTAAACTAGCCTTCGAACTTTGTTGCAGTGATGCGCGTGAGCGAGTACCGAAGGAAAAGGTTGGACGGTTACGGCGAGGCGGTGTCCCACGAGCTGTTTCGTCCGGATCACACGGCGAACGCGACTCTGAGGGCCATGGCCCAGGGGGACGCAATGCACGATTGCGCAGCGTGGCTTGCAGCCGGGAACTCCGTAGCTGTAAGCATCGCGAGCAAAACAAAACAAAAAGCACTAAAAGCACGCCGAGAAATTGGCGAACGCCCCAAAACGGTCCGGAGATGAGAGACCGATTCGAGACGAACCAAAGAAACCGCGTTTACCTTTGCCCGAACCAGTCGCCCGTCCGGAGTCACGAAGAAGTTAGAGATTAGAGGCCCCGGTAGCTTTTCACGAGTGTTCGACGTCGAATCGAGCGGACAGGAGCGTACCCGGAGAGATATCGGGTGGCGACGGAGACACTGTTTAACGAGGCCGGTCGAGCCGGTCTCGCGACACGCCTTTCTCCGCGATAGTAATTGAATCCCGTCTTACGAGTTTCGCCTTGGCCATTTTTTACCCCGGTTCAGCAGTTTCCATCCAACGCGCCTAACGTTTCGCGCTCGACGACCATAAACGCCCACGGCGCCCGCGAGCGATCATAACGCCTGCATCTTGGATACACGACGAGGCTATTTGTTTCGTAACGGTTTCGATTTCGGTTTTTAGAGCCCTGCTTGAAAATTATAGCAACCCCCGTCGCTCGACAGTCGAGTATTTTTCAAAGAGATCAAAGAGATTTATTTACATCGATGTTTAATAGTTGAAGCTTTTAAATATGAAAATTTAGAGTTGGACGAATTTATTTGAGTGGACATTTGATCTAAGGTGTAATTTTACCTGAAATACCTGGCATTCGTTGGAAATGTTTCCTCTCGAGAGTTGCTATCAAGAGTAAGACTCCTAGTGCAATGGCTGCCCGTGTCGTTCAATTTTGCTGGAAACTTATCGTATACCTACCACCTAAAAGTCTTATGCTCCTGCTGTAAAAATATTACACATAAATTTTAACTACCCTTAAAAGCTGGAGATTTCGAAAACCTGCTAGGCAAATAGCTAAAAACTGGAAGTAGAAAAAGAACAACAGAGATGATCCTTTTCGATGGGGAAAAAGGAAGACATACCCAACGTCCAGTTTTCTTATCCCCGAGGATGACTGTACACTTGTCTTCAAATTAACTGCTTGTAAAGATCTTGTACTTGGATCTTCTTCAATTCCGGTGAAGTGAGATTTGCGACGACACTTCCAGGCCACTCGACACAATTCCTTCTTCTTACCACTCGCTCTTTCGCACTCTGTACCGGGTTGTACAGAGCCCCAGGGGCCCCAACGTGGAGGTGAGGCGAGTGGATTTGGCCAGAGTGGACCCACCAACTTCGTCGAAATTCTCTGCACCGGGCTACTACCGAAATAGCAACCTAGATATAGGAAAACATCAACTAAATCGGGGTTTTCGACCTGTCCAAGGACAGGAAGATCCTCTCCAGCCTCGTGCCCCCATGGTTTTTAATCTAGTCTTTGTTCAAGTAGATTCCTCAATTATCAACTTTAAAGAGTAACTTCATCCCCTTTCGCCACTAAAAGAAACTTATGATTCTCGTCCTCGCGAATCTATTCTTGATACCGCCTCTCGAGAGTGAAACCTTGGAGTCGAAACCAGTCGCGCGTTAAAATCGTTGTCCTGGGACAAGGTCTCTCCGTCGATCATTCAGATACCGCACCCCCTAAACGCTCGATGCAACGATCTCGATAGAAGAATTCTCCAGAAGAACGGCAATGTAATCTACCGGTGGACCGAAAATCCACGTAGATCGAGTGTAAATAACACGACACGTAACCCAGAGAAACGATAAACGGAGTAACGATGCTCGTTTCACGGTGGCCGGTTAGTCATAAGAAGTTTTCCTGTTTGAAGATCCTGGACGCCACGCTGGTGACGCGAGCGCAGCGCGCCGAGGTCTTCGACTATTTTTCGGGCCAGCTCGGTTACCGCGTCCTTTTCATCGAGTGCGTCTGCGACGATCCGGTGGTGCTGGAGCAAAATTACAAGGAGATATTGCGCTACAGCACCGACTACGTCGGCGTGGACCCGGCGCGGGCCGCGGAAGATCTACGGTTGAAGGTCGCCCACTATGTTCAATCGCACGAGCCCATGGAGGAGAAGATCTATCCCAGGATACGCATCGACACCGCCACCATGGACATCCAGACCTGCAAGGTGTCTGGACACATCGAGACCAGCGTGCTTGGATATCTGGGCAGCGTCACCGTCATGCCCCACACTCTCTACTTCTCACGGGTTAGTAATCGTATTATACTACCTTATTTATTGCAATCAATTGGGGATCGCTCATAGAACTTTACGTGATCAGATAATTCTTGAAATAATTCCACCTGCTAGCTTAACAGATACAATATGAGTTCTAATACTTTTTACGCATTCCACTTAATCGACGTACTATAGTACCTCGTTTATTGCAATCAAATGGGGATCGTTCATAGAACTTTACGTGAGCAGATAATTCTTAAAATAATTCAACCTGCTAGCTTAATAGATACAATATGAGTTCTAATACTTTTTACGTATTCCACTTAATCGACGTACTATAGTACCTCGTTTATTGCAATCAAATGGGGATCGTTCATAGAACTTTACGTGAGCAGATAATTCTTGAAATAATTCCACCTGCTAGCTTAATATATACAATATGAGTTCTGATATTGTTTACATATTGCAAATCATCGACGTACTATAGTACCTCGTTTATTGCAATGGAATGAGGATTGTTAGAGACGCCATTTTCGATTCGAGTAATATAAATTCTTCCTGAATTTTGTATTAGAACTTAACGTGTACAGACAATCCTTAAAATAATTTCAGCTACTAGACTAATAGATACAATAGAGAAGAACATAAAAATTCCTGATTTCAAGCAATATTTCGAACTATTTTACCAACAAAGCCTCTATGTATACCCTCACATTCTTCTATGATTTTTTATTCTGTTGGTCGGTACTGTTCTTCGATACGCAGATATTGTTAAATTTTTTATCCGCGAAATTGTTGTGATGAACGAAATAAGCGATACTCCGGTATCTGCGGAATAAGATAGGCGAGACAAAATTTCTCAACCACAATCAATGCTCAAATTGAAGATGATTAACTGTTTATCCGTTACTCTTTAAATGGAAATGAGAATGCTAATTATAGAATGAAAAATATCACAACGGATAAAAATATATTCGAATGAAATTAGTTTTTTTTCCATTGTACACCTCAATTTCTGATACCTGGCTCATGGATAAGCTCATAATTTACTGAAAGTGACATTCCCTTTTTTCTCATGGACGCTTTTTTCGAATTTTGATAGTTATTTATATGAAAATAGTCCACTCTGAAGACAATGGTTTTCGTTCCGTTTCTAGCACGGTGAAAGCGAGTACAATGTCCTGGGCAAAGTTGGAGGCGACGCGGTTCTGAGCGCTCGTGGCGAGAGATACGCGCAGGCATTGGCGACGAAATTCAACGCTATGCGTATACCTGATCTTCGAATCCTGACGAGTCGTCTTCGAAGGACCATCGCGACGGCTCGCGGCGTCGAGGCGCCCCAGGAGCACGTGGCAGCCCTCAACGAGCTCCACGCTGGGATCTGCGAGGGTCTTTCTTACGAGGAAATGCAAGAACAGTATCCTCAGGTAATTCAAAGAACTGCTATGCTACTCCCAACTTCCTGAATCCGAGTCTTAAAATAAGACGAAAATCAAGAATATCAATTTGCTGAATGTGAAATTGAAAAGTTTCAAATCATTTTGGAAAAATTATTTTTGATTGCAGTGATCAATTACAATCACTTTTGGTCAATACACATTACCCTCGAAATCCTACGCACTTTCGAAAAAAAAATTCTTTGTGCCTTAATTTTTCGGCGAAATTGAAAAGTTTCAAATCATTCTGGAAAAATTATTTTCGATTGCAGGGGTCAATTACAACCATTTTTTGTGAATAGACACACCCCCAATATCCTACGCATTTTCGAAAAAAAAATTCGAGTAGGTGAACTTTGTTGACAAAATTAAAAAATTTCAAATCATTCTGGAAAAATTATTTTCGACTTCAGGGGACAATTACAATCATTTTTGGTGAATAGACACACCCCAAAAATCCTACGCATTTTCGAGAAAAAAATATGAGTAGGTGGATTTTGTTAACAAAATTTAAAAATTTCAAATCATTCTGGAAAAATTATTTTCGACTTCAGGGGTCAATTACAATCATTTTTGGTGAATAGACACACCCCAAAAATCCTACGCATTTTCGAGAAAAAAATTTGAGTAGGTGGATTTTGTTGACAAAATTAAAAAATTTCAAATCGTCTGGAAAAATTATTTTTGGTTGCGAGGGTCAATTACAATCATTTTTGGTGAATAGACACACCCCAAAAATCCTACGCATTTTCGAGAAAAAAATATGAGTAGGTGGATTTTGTTGACAAAATTAAAAAATTTCAAATCGTTCTGGAAAAATTATTTTTGGTTGCGAGGGTCAATTACAATCATTTTTGGTGAATACACATATCCCCGAAATCCTACGTACTTTCGAGAAAAAAATTCATTACCGAAAATATATTCTATGACCGGAAATGTTTCAATAACTTTTTAACGATGCCTCAATCAACAAATTAATATCCTTGATTTTCGTCTTATTTTGGCCTCTAGAATCTCCCATTAAAATTTTTCCCAAGGATTGCCCTACACCCGTATTTCAAATTTAATGACTCACTTGGGAAGCACGTAAACTGTTTAATTCATGCTTAGAACAGGGATATCTGTCTACGATAGCGATTGTCGTATTTCAGAAATGATATTACCACTTCATCTTCTTTAACAATAGTGCAATTATCTATCATTTTTCCAAAATAATGGACTTTGATTTGTTTTCCATCGTCGTACTGTTATTATGATCTCATTTCCCTTTATCATCTTTTCTCTTCGTTGCTCTGCCAAGGCTTCCATTTCACTTTCATCTAAACAAACTTCTACACCACATTCTCAAAGTCTAATCTTATCTTTACCTTTTCGATTTCTTTATAATATTTTTAATTTATTTACTACATTCCAAATTAAATTGAGTTTCTGTATGATATTTTTCATACAAAAGTATTATATCATATACAAAATTCTATGCTTCAGCACCAAGAGTATATGCATATCTAACGAAAGAAAATTAACCCGGATGTTAATTCAAGTTCGATTATAATTATAGACCTACGTAATACTTTTATATATTTTTACCATAGTCATTCCTGTGACCATAGTAACCTCGATCGAAGCTACCTGATTATCGAATTGCTCGAGTGTCGTAAGTGAGCATTGGATCGTTGCCATCGCTATAAGCGGATGCTCTGGCAGTTTCTCGTTGAAACTAGCTCGTCGAAAGACTACTGCACGAAACCTCGGACACTTGATTGCTCTCAGCCCATAAAGACTTCGTATCTTAAGACATGATATTTCAGTTTGAGAATATTATCGGAATTTTAGTTCAAAGAAGTCGTTGTATGCTATCACCACACTAACCTTATTCATCAAGGTCCTTGGCCACGAATCATTTTCGAGAACCTTACTCATATTACTAATTAAATACCTTACATTATGGCTGTTCTAAATCTGTAATGACGCAACTGTAATCGTTCCATCGAGTCTTCGGACTTGTTCTTCACAGAAACACTAAAAATGAACATGTACTGCAATTTATCAGTCTATACAGGGTGTTCGGCCACCTCTAGCAAAAATTTTAATGAGCGATAGTAGAGGCCAAAATAAGACGAAAATCAAGAATACTAATTTGTTGATGGAAGCTTCGTTAAAAAGTTATTAACAATTAAATTCAAAAATTTCAAATCGTTCTGGAAAAATTATTTTCGGTTGCGGGGGTCAACTACAATCATTTTTGGTGAGTACACATACCTCCGAAATCCTATCTACTTTCGAGAAAAAAAATCGAGTAGGTGCTGAAATTTTTCGGCGAAAAAAACTTTTTCAAATCGTTCTAAAAAAATTATTTTCGGTTGCGGGGATCAATTACAATCATTTTTTATCATTACACATACCTCCGAAATCGTACGCACTTTCGAGAAAAAAATTCCTTACTGAAAATCCAATTAGGTGCCTAAATTTTTCAACGGAGAAAAAAAATTACAAATCGTTGTGGAAAAATTATTTTCGGTTGCGGGGGTCAATTACAATCAGTTTTTGTCATTAGACATACCCACGAAATCCTGCCCACTTTCGAGAAAAAAAATAGAGAATGTCTGAAATTATTCGAGAAAATTAAAAAATTGCAAATCGTTGTGGAAAAATTATTTTCGGTTGTAGGGTTCAATTACAGTCATTTTTGGTGAATAGACATACCCCCGAAATCTTGCGCATTTTCGAGAAAAAAATTCAGTAAGGGCGGCACTTTAAACGTTAATAACTTTTTAACGAAGCTTCCATCAACAAATTGGTGTTCTTGATTTTCGTCTTATTTTGGCCTCTACTATCGCTCATTAAAATTTTTGCTAGAGGTGGCCGAACACCCTGTATACATAACTATTTTAAAATCAAATTTAGTATACACTATCGACACCTAAACACGAGGAAGTCAGTTTATTGAAACCTCTGAAATTATACACAAAATATCCTATTTTTGGTACACAAAAATGGAGAACGCTTTTCAGATATTCCCTGTTCGGTGCAAAGGACTATTGCTTTCCAAGTTTACAAAAATATCGCGAGTCCATATTAACTAGGACCAAGCCTTCACGATCATACGACATCCTGGCGCTCTTTTCTCCACTAACCAGGCGATTCTAACATCGGTTTTGTCCCCCAGGAGTTCGCTTGGCGCGACCAGGACAAGCTTCGCTACCGTTACCCTTGGGGCGAGAGTTACATCGACGCGATGCAGCGCGTGGAGCCGGTGATAGCGAACCTGCAGAGGTCCGACAACGTCCTGGTGGTGTCCCATCAAGCGATCCTGCGCTGCATCATCGGTTTCTTCATGGACAAAAAGCCCGAGGAGCTGCCGTACATGGAGGTCCCTCTGCACACTATCATCCGCGCCAGCAGCCAGGGCTTCAACTACAAACTGGAGTTCATCAAGCTGCCCATCGAGTGTGTAAACACGACCCGGGTGAAACCGAACAATTGCAGCGCTGACAGGACCGCCGACGACGCTCTGATCACCGTCCCCGCGCACTTCGACATCCCCGATCCTTGGAGGAACCCTGGCAGCGGACCCACCCTCGTGCAGCAGCACTGAGACACCGCTCCAAGATCCACGATCGCGTCCAAGATTCGATCTCTGTTGGACTGCAATTTTCGGGGATTTCGAAAGTAACGCCATGTTACGCAAGAAGGAGAACAGAGGGATGACCGACGCGTTGAACTTATTTGCTAGCATGCAACCCGTTAGAACAGTTCGATAACTAAAAACACGACGATAGTATTTGTACCACGATTCTGTCGGTCTTACGAACAACGTACATATATTTTTTCAGAAAATAGTTGCTTAGCGAACGGAAGTAGGGCCGATTAGGAACGCACAAGAGACCGGGAAATTTATTCGTGTAGTCGTCAAGTTTTTGGTTCCCCAATTGGCAGCGACTTCTGAATCCTGCTGCTCGAGCCCTCTATATGATACCTTTGAATGTTTAGTCGTAATGTTTAGAACGATAGACACAGCGAATCGATGTTGTATTAGCCTAACGCATACTTAGAAATACATCGACGTACTTACGTAGTAGCGCTTTTGAATGTATCGTTATTTTTATTACGGAGCAACGAAGCGAAGCATGAAACTACTGGATAATGTTTTTTTTTAGGCGTAGAGGCTAGGTTTCTATTTCTATTTCTATTTCGTTATTTGTTAGTTCCTGGATTAACGACCTATCTGTATAAATTTAATGCAGCTCATACTTTGAAAGGGGAGACGAATGTTTTGGTTGCCTCTAGAAATGACTAAGATAAGATAGTTTAGCGCAGCGATAAAAAAAAAAGGACTGATAATTGAATCGACGATATCAATGTTCGGAGAAAAGTAACGATTAGTGGAAACATTTTAGATTACACGACGTAAAATGTGCATTTTTGCGCACAGAATCGACGGAGTCATTGGTAATTTAAATTCACCCGTAACTTTCGAGCGATTTCAAGGCTGATTTCGATCAAAACCACGGTTTCCTCGCCGAGTTTTAAACAAACGTTTCAACGAGAAAGACGCCTTATTTTCCGTCGATGTCCTGCTGCGTTACGATTAGGTTAGCTATCTCGTAGGCCGCATAAATGTGCATAATAATTCATTAGCCGTAACGCGAACGTCCTCGAGGACCTAAACCCGTTCGACGGTCTCGCGAATACATGTGATCAGAGAAAGAATAAAAGAAGAAAAAACTAAAATACACGAGCGAGGAAACAGTCGAATTATTAGGAAGAGAGATAAAAAGGACGATTTAATTTAACAGGCATTGTTTCTCCCTGAGAAATTTGACAAAAGTCGAATTCAACTAGTCGAGTATCGAATTCATTGGCGAGCCTTCTGATATTTTTTTGTACCGCTCGAGAGAAAAACGAGAACGGAGGTTCGCGGAGCTTTTAGACGTTTAAGTCGTATCGTAGATACTTTCATAGGCTTTTGTTTTCTTTTTTAATTGTACATTATGAATAAACGTTTTTTACAGAACCACCGACTATCTGTTATTCTCCTGGAAGATCGTTCAGAGGGTGAAATAATCGTACATATTTCGCGCATCGTACAGAAACCATCGTGCACGTAAATAATTTAATTTCCATCAGTGTCTTACATTCGCGTATACTTGTATCGTAGAAAAATAATTTGTTCGTTTCTCTGTGACTCGTGTGCATGACTAGAGCGATTCTTGAGGCAGCCACGACCCTGACTAGATCAATTGTTAATAAATAGCTCGAGCTCTCGTCGAAGATCCGCGGACTAGCTTAGTTTCTTTTAAACACAGTGACGGTTATTACTCGATTAAATTAATTGGTATTCCAAAGACTTTTTAAGCTAGATTCCCGACCTCATCAAATTGGCGGTGTAGTCTCTTTGTTTGCTGGCCAAATGAAGGTCCAAGCTTCTCAGCATCCTGTCCCGGATTTCTTGGTCGTAGCCAATCTCCTTTTTCTGATTGTTTAACAGACCAGTTTTACGCTGCGCCATTCTGGGCTCGTTTCTCGAATAAATGCCCAGACGAAAGCCAGGATAGATCGTCTTCGACGAGGCATTCTTCCTCGTTTCGTGTACCGCGTTCTTCATGAACTCCACCGCGGTTTTGCGACAGGTATCGTAACCCAGAAGTTGAATCTTCTTACCATGAATCGCTTCGAGCTGAGCATTCCTCGGCCTGGACGCTCTGTCGATGATGGTCCCAACGGAATCCGGCGTGCCTGGCAAATTCTCGAACACTTTTCGCAGAACTTCCTTCGTCAGGTCCTCCTCGCTGCTGGATTCCTCTAAAATGAATTTTTTAAATAGCAACAGCGATTCATTCAATCCTGAGGAAGAAAAGAAATCATAAAGTTTAAGTAATTCTAGAGGGTCAAATTTAGTTTTGAGGAATCATTTAATAAACAAAACTTAATTCATTTTAATAAAAGTGTGTTCTTAAAGTCTGTTAAATGTTATATTGTAATTTCACATTACTGGTTCTCCTTTACTAAAATGAGTTCCTTATTGATCTTAATTCTAATGAAACTTTGCACAGATGTTCGTTAGAGTCACTTAAAAATTTAGCCATAACTGGTGCCGCGTTTTATTTCGATGGGAGAAAATCAACCCCTTCTGTTCGAGCCACCCCTTTCATTTAAGTGCCTATAAATCGTAAAGGACAAAAAATATCGAAAAATAGTTACAGTCAAAGTGATACTGTTTCTGGAGATCCACACACCTATGAGAAAAATATTTCGAAAATTAAACCCACCTTTCTAATTTTTGAGAAATTTTAATTTTTTTCTGGTAAATAACGATGTGCAACAATATATAATTAATTATATAATGTCTTTATTCAACAGAAAAAAATTAAAATTTCTCAAAAAATGGGCCCAAAATAAATTTATTTCGACTATTTTCCGATATCTTTTTGATTTTTTAGCACTTAAATAGAATGATTTCTAAATTCTTAAGCAGATTTAATAAACATTCGTGCAAAGGGGTTTCCTCTCGAGTTTCGCCATGATTAGAGTATGGTTTATTACACAGCGATGCAACGAATCAGGGAGATCAAACGTAGGGTTCGTAAAACGAATTAGTATTACCGAGATCGCTAGTGTGATCCGTCACGTAAGTTCCTTCTTTGATCTCTCGTTGAAGTTCCAGGACTCTAGCCAGCGCCAACTGCAGATACTCCCTCGCGTTTGGCTCCTGTACAAACATCATTCGCAAATGCACGCTGACAAACGTACAGTCGCAACGAGAAGTGTGTTCACACGGTGGAAAAGTCCGTATTTTGTACAACATTGTGTATATTACGTCTATATTCATTTGTACGTATCAATAGATTCTTAAAATGTTAATAATCTGTGAACTTGCGCCAACAGAAAGGTTTCAAATGCATTTTATGGACGGCCATCTTTAACGAAACTTTTCCTGAATTATTTAAAGTTACATTACTTTCCTTTGTTACGATTCATTTTTCGAGTCTTTTAGATTTTCCAGATCTTGTTCGTTTTATTCGACTAAAATCACGTAATGTTATTGATTTTAAACATTTCCATCGCGTTTGCGTTATCGCCATTCCAGATACGTGCACGTGTTATCAATATTTGCGACTGAATGTTATAATGTTTTCTATCAATTTCTTCCCAACAGATCCGTTTAATTCTGTTTCACAATAATGTTTGATAATATTTGTATCACCGCAGATAACCCGCAAACGATAATCGAAAATGTTATGAACGAACTTGCAACATGTATGTACAAAAAACGCTAATCGATTACTGAAATCGGCTGAAAAACTATTTCGTTTCATAAACAAGAGGAACAATGTTGGATAATGATAAATTAACGGGTCAATCACGTGCCAATTTCTTGAGTAATCAATTGCACGATTGATTAGAAGAAATGGCATCAGATGTTGAGCGTCGTACGTTGTTTACCACATGTTTGGTCTATTAACTGCGGATAATTCTTGAGCAAATAACAGGTAGATAAATCGTGCAGTACCTACGTGTTACTTAGTCTGCCCGATTCCCAAATTTAAATTCCCCGAGTATTTATTTTTGGGGCCGTTCGCAAACATTTACGTATTTATCACCCATTACTGCCGTTGGGATATTTCAACAACGTGTTCGAGAAGTTTGCCAACAAATTTGAAATATTTGAAAGATTAGGAAACTCTGTGATAGCAAATTTGTAGACTTGTATTCGAAAGTAGCCATTTTGGGCACATTCCGTGAAGGGTACACCTGAGTCTCTTCTTTTATTTACTTTAACACTCGAAAGAACGGTCACCAAATTGCTTTTATTATTTGCACCAGTTAACGGCTTTATTTAATCCTCGATAAACAACTTTACCACCGTGATAGACTCTGTAAACACTTTCTAGTTGTTATATTCCATTATGCAACCAGTGGTACAAATTCCCGTTCAAATAAAATAGAAATACAAATTTCCGCGTATGTACTGTGCAGAGACGACTTGTTGTCAGGGCACTGATTGGCCTGCAGCGCGATAGACACGCCTCTCTGCACGCGTACCGTATCTATCTAAACAGAACCGGTAGAATCGAAATTACCTCCATGGACTTGATCTTTTTGTTGTCGTCGTGTCCATCCGCCAAACAGGGTGCCTGTTAGCGAGAAACGAAAAACAAATTATACAAAAACCACGGGCACGTTTCATCGACGAATTCCTCACCGACGAGTATCTTTTCATCTCGATCCACGGACGTTTCCACGGCACTTTTTTCTGGCACGATGCGAACGCACACCGAGCTAAAAATAATTCCACTTTCCCGTGACTTCTCACCCTCTTCGACCCTCTGCGCTCCCGAGCTTCTTCGGTGTTCCCGTGTCGGAAGCACTTCTCGACTAATAGGCACTTGGTCGTCGCGTTCCACTTGGTTGTTTCGCCCCGAAAATCCGCCCTATTCCGTAAACGCAGCCGGGGAAACGACCGTTGACTGGCGTCGATCGGCGTCGACTAGCCAAATCGCGACAGCCCTTGCCACGCAGGAGACTGCTGCGAGGGTGACGGTTTGCCATGGCTTCTCACCCCCTCCTGCCCCCTCGGGAACCCATCGAACTGTACCCCTTGAGCCGGCCTCCCTTGCATCTGCACGGGAACATTGTCCTCGGAACCCCTGTTTGCTCGGCGCGTGCCCCGTGTCCGATAAAAACGGCTGCCACGCGCCCCTTTCCCGAAACTACGACCGAATACGTTACTAGCGGCTCGATAGTAGCCGCGGAAGCATACTAACCCTCCGATGGCGAGCTTAGATCATTTACGACGCACGAAATCTCGCGTACACGGTCCTGTGAATAATTACAAGCTCAATATCTACATTTCACGTAAGATTAAAATTATACGAAACAAAAGTTCTTTGAAAATCTGAAAAAAGTATGATTTTCTCTAAAAATTGTATTTTAGACTGTGGAAAAAATAGAGGGTGAGACACTTAAAACTGGCCACCTGAATAACTCAGCTGCTATTGGTGATAGGAAAGGATGAGTCAGGATAAAATTATTTGCTATCGAGGGGCTGATTATCCGATGTTACTATTGTTTTTTGATAGGTGGAAGTGGATCTCTGTTTTTTTACTTAAATTCTGATAGAGTATTTCAAGACGAATACAATGGCCTGGAAAGGCCAATTGGAAAGGTCATTCCTGGTCTGGGTTGAGGGGTAAGAATACGGTAAAAAACAAAAAATTTTCTCTTAATCTATACGAGAGAGATACGTAGGGGATCTTCGATAATTTTGATATTATTTATTGGCAATTGATTGCCCCATTTTTTGTACAAAATTGAACCTTCCACTTCAAATTCTCGCCAATCACACAAAAATTAATGTTTCAAAAATCCCCTATTGGCCGTCACCACTGATATTGTAGACCAAAGTGAAATACATGAAGATGCTAGGAATATTATTATAATGTAACCTCAACAAACGTAACAAGTTGAATGTATGATGAAATGGTGACTGATACAGTAGATCACGCACACGTGACAGTTGCCAACGTCTGCTAGCTCGCGAAGTCACGTATACGTGACAGCGGCCGTCAAAGTGTTAAAAGAAAATTTTTTATTTTTTACGGTGATCTTACTCTGCAGACCAAGAATGACCTTTCCAATAGATCCTTGTACTCGTCTTGAAATACTCTATCAGAATATAAGTAAAAAAACATACCATTCCAATTTAAAAAAAAAAAGATGACCTTCATATATCTCCTTGATGCCTTCACCTATCAAAAACTAGTAAAATCGGATGATCAGCCTCTCGATACCAAATAATTTTGGCCAGATGCATGTTTTCCTACCACCAATAGCAGCCAAGTTATTCAGGTGGCCGGTTTTAAATGCCTCGCCCTGTATAAAGTCAACATTAATTTGTATTAGTTTCAATTTAGTATAAATTAGTATGAATTTAGTATGAAATGATTTCTAGATGGGAACAGTTCGATGTTTATCGATCATAGTTCAATGGATGCGTTCACGGACAATATTTATGCGAAAAAGCGTGGTAAAGATTCGCGAATACGTGGTGGTTACAAAAAATATTTTTTTCAGTTTTTTTTTTCTTTCTTTATATTTTTTATAAATTTCAAATTTTACAGTGCGAATGTCATAGATTAAAAAACAGTTGTAATGATAAGATAAAAGTTCATGTTATAATAAAATAGAAAATGATTATGAGTATTGTTCTTAGCTCGATAACTTACGTAAAAAATAAAAAATAGATACATTCAAATCTATGCTCTAAAATTAATATAATTAATTAGTCAAACCTTTTAAATTAATATACCATCAATCTAAAGGAAAGCTGAGATTCCATCTAGCTTTACTTCCTTCTTTAATAAAACATTAGTCCCATTTTGACTGCAACTAGAATATTAATGTTATATTTATATGTATATTACACAAATATTGAAAAATAAAAAAAAGTGGCTAAAGATAATAAAAATAGAAACTGAGAATGTTACGATTAGTGTCTCTTATATTAAACTCACAGAGAATGATCACAAAATGTGACTAATTCTACTCCTTAAAAACAGATTTTATATTTATTACAAAAACATGAAAAGTACAATGCATATAAACCGAGAGAAACGACGTTCCTAATACTATAATTCCTAGTTTTAAACCTAACGAAATACTGCTCGATTGACTGAACAACGCAAAATATTATTAATATTTTAACACTTGATTCGATTTTCGGTTCAAATTAAATGTCATACATTGCCGCATAATGTATTTCTTTCTTTAAAGACAAAGATTTTGTTACATGGTACTAAACAAATCATCGAAAGATTCTATTTCAACGCTAAACGATCCGTTCTTCGAGACCAACGTTTCGATTAATCCAGCTTTTACCTTCCAACTAATCCTAAAAAAACTCGTACGACTATTAAAAATGCTCTCAACGTTCGTTCTTCTATAAAAAATGTAATGCTCGTGACGCATCTGTTATAAAATAGAATGAGATTTCGTACATCGATAAAATCGAATGAGCAGGACGAAGTAGTGATACGGAGAAATAGATGTTCGTTCGCTCGTCCTCGAAACGTGAACAATTTATAAATGGATAACAGTTTAAAAGTGTTCTACCTGTTCCTAGACCTTTTGTTACTATTCTTTTTCGCACTGTTTCCGGATTTATTTTTCGAAGGTTCTTTCCCGGTGTTTTCTTTCAACGACACGTGTTCGAGACTTCCATTGCTCGCGTGCCCGTTCGCAAACTGTCCGGATATCTCAACGGAGGAGGACAGGGATCCGTTTTGATTATACTGGCCAGTAACAGAGTGGTTTTTCCCAGATGATTCCTTATTACCGTTGCTAGTAGTACTATTGCCGCTCGTCCCGTGCGAATTCACGAGGCTGCAGTTGTCCTCGCTACCGCTGTTCCCAATCTGTGACTCCGATTCGCTGTACCGGTCAACTGGAATCAGGTTTTAAAATGGGAACACCGCGAATCCCATTGGAACGGCTCAAGTAATAGTTTACCGATCGAAAAATCGACAGTTGTTCGGTTCACCCGATTACACTCGAATCTATTGACCGAATCGGTAATTGGCAATTAGAATTAGTAAAAAAATTACTCGTGATCCCGATTAAGTGATGCTATGATGATTATTCAATTAAATTAAGACCACTGTAAAAACCTGAAATAAAGCGTTTTTTGCGATTTTTTTTTCATAGATGGAGAAGTAAGAGGATAATAATATTCAAGAATGTTATTGACCATGTCGTTGAGTGTTAAAACAAAAATAGTATAAAATGACTGATGTAACTGATGCAAATTTTTATCTGGAAAAAAACAAAAAATTTTCTCTTAATCTACACGAGTATAGAGAAATTTATTGACAAATGATTGCCCCATTTTTTTGTACAAAATTGAACTTTCTACTTTAAAAGTTTGCCACTCGCGCAAAAATTAATGTTTCAAAAATCCCCTAAGTATTTCTCCAGCTATACTCGTGTAGATTAAGAGAAAATTTTTTTGTCTTCTTCCAGATACAAATTCGCGTGTCGCAGAGCGCCTCCAGCGTCATTTTGCACTATTCTCGAATAAATTCTTATTTTTAACACTCAACGACATGGTTAATAACATTCTAGAATATTATTATCCTCTTACTTTTCCATCCATCGAAAAAAAAATCGCAAAAAACCGCTTTATTTCAAGTTTTTAATAATTAAAATCTGGAGTCGCGAGAATGAAATTTTTCAAAATGGCGCCAAAGAATTACGGTCATCGTACAGATAGAAACACATTACGTACATCTTAAAGAGTATAAAGATTGTTGTTATTAGATAGTACCTTGTTAGAAAAGGTTGGATATAATACGATACCAACTATCTAATATATTACCAATGCTGTATAAATTATCAAATAAGAATTTTAAATTGGAAACCTAAAGGTGAAAGAAGAAAAAAGCATTTCAAATTTTAGGTAATGAAGATAATGCAACAACACTGTTGGAAATATATGCTGTAAAACAAGATTTGAAATTAACCAAAAGGAACTACGTAGCTAAAACTTGAAATTGATAAATTAATCCAAAGCAATGTTTAATATTCTATATAAATATGATAATCGAAAAATTTGAAGATAAACTTTTACAGACACAACAACTACAATACTTTAACATATTTTAATTGATATAATCATTTTTATTTTCTAAAAATATTATTCGAAACTTAAAACGAATGTTTCATACTACCGATTTCTATACTTTCGACATATACATACCGAGAAAGCAACAGAACGAATAAAAGCCATTAAATTAAGGAATAATTTTTCATAAAACTTTGAAACAGGTGCGACAAATAGATATTAAATTTATTCATAACCAAGATACAGAAAAAAAGATAAATATAGATGAAAACAGATAGCAAGAATTAATTTATAAAGTTCTACGCTTAATTACTTTGTAAAGACTAAAATGAATGATCATAATAACAGACAGGGAATAAATAAAAATTTATTTATAACTTAAATACAGAAAAAGTAAAAATTACTTTGTTAAATACAAAGTAATTAATGAGCATGCTTCAACCTTTTCTTCATTAGTTCATCTAACCGTACTTCTTAATAATCTACATTATTACTTTTCTTTTCTACTGGAAGACAGTCTGATCGATACTTAGGGAACAAAAAGAAGTACAATTTGGAATAACTTAATAACTAAAAAGAGCTCTTCTCAAGGACAGGATTAAAAACAAAAGTTGGATAGAGGGATAGGATGAAAAATAAGTTGTACTCTTTCTTTCACTGTAAAAAATTAATTATCTCAGGAATATCCATTGAGATCCTTACTTTTTTCCTGGGTATTTTCGACGAGTCCGCTTACGGCCTGCAAAAATATAATCTTTGTGATTTAAATAAATTTTGTTATTTAAATAAGTTTTCGGTCGTGGGCAGAACATTCCGCTTGTAGCAAGAAACGAGAGAAAATTTTATTTTTATTGTTTACGTTTACAACGCTCGAAAGACGTCGAGAGGCAACGCTTTCACTCGCTTTCACGCAGAGTTCTTGGCGTGTAGGTCAAGTGGAACTATTAATGAACAAATACCATATAACTCAAGATTTCTAACAAGTATATCTTGAAAACGACAATTATTTTTACACCAGAAGTTAGAAACATGCCTCTTCCACGTATTTAAAAACCATTAAAATCAGTGAGACTATGACGAATCTAAACAAACTCATTATACCACTTTCTCCATTACTATTTTTAGTTCTAACAACGAAAAACGAAAGTATTAGAACTCCTAATTTAATCACACCCATGTGCCAATAATTATTTGCAATATTTCGAAAAACACTTTGTGTTAAATGTTTGTTGTTATTCCTTCTTGTTAATTACGTTAACTCTTTGTTAGTGAGTTAATTAAAAGAAGAAAAAGTATTCTGCAAAGAACAAGTGTCTTTCGTTAAGGAATATGTGTATGCCTGTGATCTAAGATATCGGCTAATAACTGGCAATGTTTAGTATAATTGAGCTCTGTATAAATGGTTTGTCTGCTCAAGGAAAGACTTCTATTCTTTGCACATAAAATTTACTTCTTGTTGATACAGAGAAAATATTAACTACTCACTGCCATGGAGGTAATGGAAGATTTTGAAAAAAGCCTTTCAGCTTCTTTAAACTTTCTATTTCGTTTGTCTGCTTTACTATTTGTATTTTTGTTGCTGGCTAAATACCTGTCCCATCCACGTATTATGTTGCCATACAATTGCGTATCCTCCAAGTAACTACCTTCAAATGCATAGATCTGACGTTCTAAATTAGCAAGAGTGTCCTACAGAATTACAATATTTGATTTAAAAAAACATCATTGATTGACATTGTATACAGAAACAATCAAACTTCTGTTTGCCAATTATATATACAGGGTGCTCGGTCACCCTTGGGAAAAATTTTAATGGGAGATTCTAGAGGCCAAAATAAAACGAAAATCAAGAATATCAATTTCTTGACTGAAGATTCGTTAAAAAGTTTTTAACTAAAACTACGTCCAAGTGCAACAATTAGTACAATGAAAATAATCCAAAGAGGTCAACTTAACCTCAAAATATGTAAAACATATAAAGTTTACCGTTACTTTCGAATGTTTCTTCGAGACAATTAATCCTTAAATGTAATAGCAAACATTCATAACAGAAATGATAAAATTGATTACTTTGGACGTAATTTATCTGAGGTCGAAATTATTTGTATGAAAATATACAGTTTGACAGATGCCACAAACTTACAGCTATTTCTGCTTTTCGTTTCACTAATTCAGCGAGTTCCGCTCTCAAATCGACGGAGGACTTCGTCGACATTATTTATTTAAATATATGAATATAACACTAACAATAATCCGAATTCTCTTGTTTTCAAAACGTCACTTTTTACCAAATACTATTCATTTTTCGACGAAAACTTTCCTGATTGATCTGAAGTTGCTCCTATTCGATGTTATTAAACTTGCCAACTTCTCGCGTATACATGACCCACGAACTATACAAATAGTGATAGATAGGGGAGTTTAGTTAAAAATACGCGAACCTTACCGTCGACTGTGATTGGTATATGTTCACGAACTATCGATAGTCGTTGCAAAAATATCGATAGCGGAAATTATCGATAATAATCAAAATTTCACGACCTGATTTGTTTGTTTCGCATCTTACACAGTGGTTTGAGAACTTTTTATTAAATTTATTGATATTTTTACGGTTAAACTTAATTTAATTGTCTATTCTAGGCGTTTCATTATCAGAATGAATTTTCCAACGTTCTATAGATTAACGTGTGCGCGAATGAATAATACTTCCATGTTAGGAGGTTATGTGACTCGTAATATCGTAACAGTCGCTGATCATAAAATAAAATGGGTTCGACCACCGAGAATTCCCGAAGTAAAACCTGAACACAGTGGTGATTTAGAATTAAATGTATCGGTAAAACCAACTGATACGCGACTTTATTATGAGCAGTCGAAAGAATGGGATGAGTAAGTAAATATAAGTAGAGTAAGTAATAAACATATACTCTATTCAATCTTGTTTCCTGTTATAGCCATTTTTATGCTCCAATAATTTAAATCTGCTTATCTTTATACATTTAAGTGCTCTATATGACCATTTTCAACTTGAATGCTATTTATTGAATTCATTGCTAGCACTGTTATATATATGTTGATAAAGTATTTCAACAATGGGTAACTAATAAACAACTGTTTTTAAGTGGATTTGAAAATAAAAATCAAATGAAACTACTTCCAATAGTTCACTCAATTCACTGTTCATAGATCTATTAAAATCTCCTTAAAACAATAAATCTGATGAGCCCCTAATTGATGATGTATGTAATTAATATAGTGCAAGCGATATCGTGAAGAATATGTTCACCTTGAAGCATCAACGTAACATAGAAACCAGAAATTTAAAGAGAGAAAAAACAATTGCACTTGTCAAGCGGCATATATGCGATCGCGGTTCTGCGGAAGCCAAGAGTAAGAGTATTTTTAGAAAATATTGTGTATTATTGTATTTTATACAATAATCATAAAACATACAATTACATTACTCATAATAATTTTTATAAACTTTAATAATTTAAGTAATAAATCTAATTTACGTGATTTTCACCGGGACAATTGCGAACGACTATTTTTTTTTTTGCACCGTTATTTATATTTGTTAAATATTTATCGATTTTTTTTTTTTTTATTATTAAATAATTTTCTCAGTTGCAGCAATGACAAGTGAAATTCAGCATATTCAGGAACATATGGAACAACATCCAAGAAATAAACCCACAAAACAATTCTTAAAAGAATTAATTGATAAAAGAAAAAAACAGCTGAAATTATTACGTAAATGGGACTACAGACGATATGAATGGGTTCTCGAACGTTTGAATCTTGTTTATAAACCTGATCCAGAGTATGATATTTTTCATTTTTATATAAACGAAATATATAAAATTACTTAATTGCTATATTAATTAACTGTTAATTCATTATATATATTTATATGTTATCATGCGTATCATTTGTCTCTTACCGATCGTAGAGTACCTGGCCAAGTATCAAGGAAAGAATCATTGAGAATATTAACGCAACAACATTGCGATAATATTATTCAAACCAAATTAAATGCGTATAAGGACGAATTAAACAAACAAAAAAAAGATTTCTATCTGGAAAAAGCTGAAAAATTGGCGTTCATTTTAAAGGAAGAGAAAGAATGCGGTTTAGAACCATCTGTAACAGAAGAAGAAATTGAAGCATTACGGAAAAAAGTAGAAGAGCTATAAGATTTAATTTATAATCAGTTAATTAAATTTAAATTAAATAAACATTATTTCTGTGTTTACTCGACCTTATTCACTTTCCCGCGAAAATAGGAGTAACAGGAATATTTAATAAACTGTTTCATGGAATTTAAAATAATAAATACTAATAAAATATTATATTGTATAATTTTACACTTTAAATTTACGACTGATATCGGGATCACATGGCAATATATGATATACATATACAATTACATCTATATTTATATGCAACCTAGAAAGTATGCATAGTGACTTGTATTTTCCAACAGATCAAAGAATATTATTCAAATTGACAACCTAGGTAAACATAGTTTAGTTTAGAATAAATCAATGTAAGTTTAAATATTATTAAAAAATCACTGTTGGTAAAATATCCTCGGTAGTATAGTGGTCAGTATCCCCCATTCGTTCGCCGACCCTCGCAGGGGTCGGACGTGTTGCCTGAGCGCTCCGCTACCGAGCAGTGAAGTGCCGCTAACGGTGACTTAAAACACGAACTCAGTGATACATCGGCGAACATACTTGAATTATTATAAATCCACAGTGATTTTATAATATAACTATTCACAGACAATAAAGCCACTGCCTGAGCAAATAGGACATCGTGAAACCAGTGAACAAAGTGAACATCGCTCACTCGTCGCACATCATCACGACAGATAAAACAATTATTCATAAAGACGATATAATTCTCTCGATATATTAAGTCTAAAACCAATGTCAAAAGACTGAACCCAGCCCCAAGGTTGTCTAAACGTAACGAAAACGAAGGAAAAAACTTGAAACGAGGACAAGCCATCGTACGAGGAGTTGCTTAAAATGATAAGCAACCTAAACATCACCATTGCCGAGCTCTCCAAGCAACTCTCAGAAGAGAGAAAAATCAGGGAAAAGAAGAAAGCAGCCGAACCAAGGTTGCCAGAGACAAAGGCGCCCCGGGAAAAGCAGTGACGTCAGCGGCCGTACTTGAGAACGTCGCCATGTGGGAACGAGACAATGGCGGCTGGAGCACAGTCCCAACAAAGAGGAAGACCGTCCAAACCAGCGCTTTAGGAAACAAAGGGAAGAGGATCGCCACCCCTTCGACCAGCCAGCAGGAGCAACACGTGGCAAATACCCAGCCGCGATTACCAAAGAAGAAGCCAAGGTTCATCGACGAAGTAACGGTACCCTTGACTACAAATACGAAAATCTCTCGACCACCACCGATAACAGTTTATAGTACTAATGCACGTGTAACAGTAGAATTAATAGCAACTATCACAAAAGATTTCTACATAAAAAAAAAAATCAACAACACGAAAAACACAGTCCACATAAACTCAATAGAACACTTCAAAACCGCGTGCGCAACTTTGAAACAAAACAATTTTTAGAGTTTGTCTAGGGGCATACAGAACACCGGAGTCTAACTTCACTAGAAAGATTAGCAACTACAAACTATACGAAAACGCGAAAATTATTAGAATAGATTTGTTTATGCTCAAATTGATCCGAAAACCACTGGTCTAACGCGCATAGAATCAAACTTAATAGCCTAATTTACGGTCCAACTTATCCGAATCCATTATATCTAGACAGCGCAGGATATATTCAGAACAATATTAACATTCCAATCATCTATCATATTAATAGAAAAACTTACGACAAAAAACTCTTATACGACGTAAACACACACTTCGACGACCCTGACATACGTTCGACGATAGACTTGAACGACAAACATAGACACAACACTGACAAGTACTGGTGGTTGCAGTCCAGTTAAACACACTATAGATCATAACCGAGTACACCTAAGATACGCTGTATTACACACTAAAATACCACAGTTAAATTTAAGTAGCTCTAAGTCGACACTAACTATTCGGTAGTTTTAACAAAATCTTTAGAATAACTTTACTAACTTAGACAGTATCTATTGTTTCATTTATTTATTTATAACAATCGTGGCCTCCTCGGTAGTATAGTGGTCAGTATCCCGAGGATCGCCACCCCTTCGACCAGCCAGCAGGGGCAACCCGGGGCAAACACCCAAACGACGTTACCGAAAAAGAAGCCTAGGTTCGCTGACGAGGTAACGGTACCCTTAATTACAAATACGAAAATCTCTCGGCCACCACCGATAACCATTTATAGCACCAATGCACGCACAACAATAGAACAAATAGCAACAGTCACAAAAGATTTTTACATAAAAAAGATAAATAATGCAAAACACACAGTACATATAAACACATTAGATAACTTCAAAACCGCGTGCGCGCTCTTAAAACAAAAAAACATTGAATTCTTTACGTATACACCAAAACAAGAAAGATACCTAACTATCTTATTAAAAAACCTGGAAGGAGACTACGACCCGGAAGTAGTACTCGCCGAACTGAAAAAGAACAACATAGATAACGTAGATTTCGCGGCCGTAAGCAAATTCAGAACACAAAAGTCAATTAGGGAAGGCAAAAACCTTCCAATATATATCGTACAACTAACACCGAACAGCAAATTCGAGAATCTCCATCAGATCAAAGTCTTACTTCACTCCCTCGTCGCGTGGGAGAAATTAATCAAAAAAGACCGCATCCAGTGCAAGAGATGCCAGCGAATAGGACACGTTGCGCTTAACTGCAATCTCAATTACAGATGCGTTAAGTGCAACAGCCAACACAATCCGGGCGAGTGCACTCTACCGGTAGCTGGCACTAACGCAGAAGAGGACGCGGAAACGCGCCCCTTCTGCGTAAATTGCAAAAACTTCGGACACCCTGCGTCGTACAGAGGTTGCCCGAAGTTAAAAGAATGGAAACAAAAAATAGAGGAGAAAAAAACTCAAATCAGATTAGAGAAGGAACGGAAACACCAACTAGTAAATAAATTCGTGAAACCAAATATCTCATTTAGTGCAATAGTAGGAAACAAAATCCAACCAGGGAACCCTAAAACACAACAGCCGACAGAAACGCTAACACAGCAACAACCACCCAAAACGTTCCCAACACATCTGTTCCTAGAGGAGATAAAGAACATTATCTCCTCGTCAATAAACACTCACATAGCTGGTATCGTGGAAAGCATACAAGCAAACACGAACAAAATTAACATAATAACCGAAGCATTAGGCATACAATTTTAAAAAATCATAAATGGCTAATACACAACACACCACACAAAAGAAAACAAGCTTTGCTTCACTAAAAATTATTCAAATCAATGTCAACTCGATTATTACAAACGAAAGAAGAGTCACTCTCCTGGATACACTCACTCTACACAATCCGGACATAGTTTTATTATCGGAAACAAAACTAAACCACACACACCGGTTAAATTTCAGAGATTATCACATACTCCGTACAGACAGACCGCGCTCCAAACAAGCTGGCGGCACAGGCATCCTTATCCGTAAAAACATTTCGTTTAGATCCATCCAACCAAACTGTCTAAAAAATAGCATTTCTTTCGAATCCACGATAATTCAACTCAAATTGCAGAACAACGCGAAAATCCACATAATTGCAGCATACGCAACTAGTAACTGCAAAAAAGAATTTATGATAGAGTTAAAGAAATTATTTGAAATCCTTGAACTCCATAGACCAAACCATTACTACCTTCTAGCCGGCGACTTAAACGCGAAACATACCTCCTGGGGTAATTCCTTGAATAATGCAAGAGGCGTATCGCTTAATAAATGGTATTCCGAAAGTAGAATCAAATATAGAACCTCCTTACTCAAAACTGCAGTCCCGTCGTTCCCAAAAAGCGGAGCGTTCCTCGACCTCTGCCTCGCGGACGAACGAATCAAATTCCACAATCTACCTGCTCCAAAGGCCCTAGACACATTCGCATACGACAGTGACCATAGAGCATCATTAATGAACATTTCGATTCAGACTCTCGACACACTCGAACTAGACGAACCAACGACAACAATAAAATACAATTTTGGCAAAGCCGACTGGGCAAAATATCGCGACTTCTTGATAGAAAACGATGACACAGACGCCATAAACGACAGAAATTTAACAAAAAACGAGATCGATGCACACATAGACAAGCTTAACGTTAACATATCCCAGGCAATAGACGCTGCAATACCGCGAGTAAACAACGATTTCAACTCAACGGACAGATACCTAAATCCTAAAATCAAGAATCTCCGAAGACAAAAGAGCCGTCTGCTCACATACCTAAATAACCTATCCAGAATCCAAAACTACACCACAGCAAACGACCCACTGATCCAAGCACTTAAAGAGGCTCTAAAGACAGTTAGGCACGAAATTAAAAAAGCTTTTCAAGAATCGGTCAGCAATTTTTGGACAAACAAAATCAGTAATATCTCACAACGAAAATCGAAAGAACTTTTCCCATCTATCAATAGTATATTCCGTCCCAAAGAAAAGAACTCCATCGAGGATCTAAAAATTCCATCCGGCAACAGAAGCATTTTCCATAGAGCCAATGTAACAGTTGACAATTTACAAACTGACGCACACAACAACGTACTCGTTACAGATGCACAGGACAAACTAAACATATTAGGCGCGCATTTTGAATCGGTCCACACGCAAAATTCAGAGATGGGAAAAGAACAACTCTGCAATATAATCAAACGTAAAATCGACTCACTTCAACAAGAAATCGAACAAGACAGACTAGACAACAAAACAGTATGTACATTTACGAACACAAATACAGCAGACAATCCCGACCCAGATACCATCCCACCCAACTACTTCACATCCTTTGATAAACTGAAAACTACATTCAAGCGTCTCAATAATAAAAAATCCTCTAGCTTTGACGGCATCCCAAATATAGCTCTGAAAAACCTCCCGTTCCGCTACGTTTACCATTACGCGATTCTTTTCAACAATTGTTTAAATTTAGTTTATTTCCCAACCGCTTGGAAAACCGCGAAACTCATAACAATTAAGAAAAAGGGCAAGGACGGTAACGACCCCTCAAGCTATCGCCCCATCAGCCTGCTTT